GTTCGTATCCTACAGGAGTATGGAACTCTTCGCCGCAGGTTGCGCAAACATCAGTCAACACAGATAAAACGGTGGTCAGGAGTCAGCCGCCGCCCGGTGCTGATTACAAGGTTCCATGTATAAACGTCAACGATGCTGAGCTCAAGAAATGGAAATCTTCGTCCATGTTGGCAGCACGCTATCCCACAACACCATAATCGACACCGAGGTTACTCGCCGGAACTCGAAAGCTAGCCAAGCCTTCGGCCGGCTTCAATTCTCCGTGTGGAACCGTCATTGTCTCCACCTGTCCACGAACCTGAAGATTTCAAAGGCTGCCGTCCTCATGACACTCCCGTACGGAAGGGGAGACTTGCACCATCTACACCAAATAAGCTTGATAGTTAAATCATTTCCATCTCAGCTGTCTCCACCAAATACTGAAGCTGAGAAGACAGGACAAAGTCCCGGCTATGTAAGTCCTGGAGAGAACGGAAATCTTCAGCATCCAGGCCATGCTGAGGTATCTACAACTGCGATGGAGCCGCCACCTGGTACAAAATACGGCCATCGACCACCCAAGCGACTGTTTTATCGTGATGTCGCTGAGAGTACTCACCACAAAGGAGGACAAAAGAGGCGCTACAAGAGAACTCTGAAGAACTCTCTGAAGCTTCTTCAAATCAACACGGCGATCTGAGAGGAACGCACACAGGAGCAATCTGCTTGGCGGAGAATTGTAAAAGTGGCGCAGTTATCTACGAAGCCAGCTGGATCGCTGCCACCAGGGCGAAAAGGACGACTCGCAAGTCCCAAACCTAATGGACGAACGCTGTCAATGCACAAGCACTTTCAACTTGGCCGCGCTGTCAGCACACCTTCCGTGCACGCATCAGCTTGGTCGGTCCCCTCCGGAAGCAGTGTACCATCCCTCCAATGGCACGTACTTCCACGGCGGCAAACAATTCCACAATCCCTCTTGGGTCTAGTACTGTGCCGACAAAAGCCCTTACCACAGAACCTCAAATACTCGATGCCCCGTTGTCCCCACCCGCCAACACCATCTTCCCTACTGTGACCCCCTCACTATCCACAACACTGACCATGCCGGACACTACATCCCTAACTCTGTAGCGACCTTGTATTTCCTAGCCATGCTTTGCTCACATGCTCCGCGTGTCTGGCTGTCGTCTGCACCAGCCCCTGCGCGTCCCAGGTTGTCAAAACCTCCGTTTAAGGTCACCGCCTGTCTGGCCTCACTGACCAACCACTTCTCAAGGCCAGGAGCTTACAGCGGGGGAGTTGTTGACGCTCAGTCACTCCCAGAACCGACGATGTACTGGTTGGTTGTAGTTGTCCGGATCCGGTAATCTACTTGCCGGACTACGCCTCTGGACTCCGGCCCCTTCATGGCTGGACTGCATTCGTCTGGGAGTCACTTACCCATTATTCACATTCTACTCCTGTTACACCTTATTTAATTATCCCTAACACTCTGCCCTTCCACGCCTTGTTATATCTACTAGCTTACAAATGTTGGGATGCGGTCTATCGTCTATTATCTGGCCGGACCACATTACTGACCCCGACGTTTTCAATACTCCACAACTCTCCACACCTTTCTACGTATCACCTTCCGTCATTACTTTAATCACCACATCTGACCCCTCTACCAGCA